GAAAATTAGTACCAAGGACAGTAAGTTTTAAGTAGAAATAGTACACTGTGGATCCTGTCAAACTCGTCTTCCGTAGCGACTGTAGGGGGGAGGGGGGCAGATAGATCAGTCAACGTCACGCATAGAAACAATGGGGACATCGTGGGTTCTGTCAAAACTCGTCTTCTGTAGCGATTATGAGGGAGGGGAGTCAAATTAGCACCAAGGACAGGAAAGGTCACGTCTTTTGTAGCGACTATGGGGAGGGGGGAGGCAGAAAAATCAGTACCAAGGACAAGTCGTTCTTCTTAGCGACTTTGCTGTTATGAACTGCTAATTATGTAGCCCACTGTAGTGCTAATGTATTACAACAGTTCATATATATAATCTCACAAAATTGTTAGAAAAAGTGCCGACTCACTTGACTGGTTGGGCAGTGCATACGCCTGTCTGCGGATGGGTGGGGGTGTGAATGGGGAGATCGGGTATGTGTTGTTGAGGGAAAGTCCCCGCATGAAGTTGTGCACCTTCCCCGCGCGACCCTCGCGTGTGGCGAACAGAGAGGACCCCGTGAAAATGGACATAAGCCAGTTGTTGTAGAAGCCGGTCTGTGACGGTTTCTTCTGTCTTCCGTCCGCTGTACTCTGCTGACAGAACTGGAACAAACAAACAAACAAACATGAGCCAGTTGTTGTAGAAACCTGTTTGGGACGTTTTTTTCTGTCTGCTGGTTTTTAAAAAAGGAAAAAAAAAACTATACTTTTCCTGCCTGCCACTTTGAAACTCACCTTACTACCCAGAACTGTGCCTGAGCATTGTTTTAGATAAAGCATAGTTGAAACGAATAGTAGAGTGAGTAGAAACAGGAAAACCTGACTCCTGGGCAGCCAGCTTACGACAACAGCGCGATAACGACTACTCCTAAAGTTCCGGACCCGTGAGAGCAGTTAGTTGCTAGAAGTTCAAACCCAACTGTTACACTACCCCCCCCCCCTTTCAAGATTCGTCCACGAAAAGACTCGTTACCTCATCGTCATCGCTGTCGCTGTCGTCATCCAGGATGCTGTTTGTTCTCTCCAGCTTCTTCTTTTCTGCCTTCTCTCTGCGGGCGTCCCGCGCCAAAGTCTCTTCTGCAAGTAAAACACACAAAGCAGTGTGAATGGTAGTCGTTAGTTTCATAAGGTTGAATCAGATGAGAAAACGTCACGGGAAATGAGGGTCAGCATTAGTGATTATGAATTACGTTAAATTATGTAGTACTTTATGGATTACGTTTAACGTTGAAGAAAGGTAACTGCCTACGCTTTACGTAGAATGAAAACGACCAATCACATGTTACGCGGCTAATGTACTGATTACGAATTACGTTGATTTCGGACGACCGCCTACGGATCACAAAGACTCAAAAGCCCTGATTACGCCTTACGAAAAATGTTATTGTATAGATAGACATTGTGAACGGTGGGCGCCACGCCTAAATTGCCGCAATGCTTATAAATATTTAAAAACAACAACAACAACAAAGAAATGGCAATTCATTGCAAGACTTCTAATGTTAATCGAGCGCCCGGTTAGCTCAGTCGGTAGAGCATCAGACTTTTAAGCCTGTCGTTCAGGGGTTCGAGTCCCGGATATCTGAGGGTCAGGGGTTCGGGTCCCGGATATCTGAGGGTCAGGGGTTCGAGTCCCGGATATCTGAGGGTCAGGGGTTCAAGTCCCGGATATCTGAGGGTCAGGGGTTCAAGTCCCGGATATCTGAGGGTCAGGGGTTCGAGTCCCGGATATTTGAGGGTCAGGGGTTCAAGTCCCCTATCGGGCGAGTTTTTATTTTTTTTATCTTTTTTTTATCTTTTTTTTTCCGTCCGTACCTAACTCTTTCTGCAGATCCTCCGGTTCGCTTTTTTTCTCCATCATGAGTCGGTTAAACAGGATGGTGAAGGCGCTGCCCCAGATGCCTGCGGAAGGGGAAAGAAACGTTTTTGTTATTGTGTCATTCATATGTCTTTAACGACGACAAGTACATACAAGTATTGATGAGAGGAGCTTCAGGCGCCAAACCTCTGCTCTCTTATCGAAGGGATAACAAAAATGATAATAGAAAGATTCTTTATTGACACAACAAAAAAGTACAGGGACTTTTGTATGGTCTTCTACAACGAAAGATCAAACAAAGCTAAATACATGTGTGGATAACGTTATCTTACGTATAGAATATATGTATGCGGTAACAATAAAGGTTTAACTATTCTCTAACATGTGTTCTCTAAGATCGAAACATTCTTTAATATATTTTCCTATTAGAATGTAGTTGAATTTATCTATAGGATTTAACGTATTGAAATCAATTGAACAAGCGCGGAAAGAAAGGTGAACAGCAATATGTGCTTATCGTTGTATAGTGTACAATCCATTATAAAATTGTGCTCATAATGCAAGCGAGCCGTACGTAGCGAAATTGCACTGTACTATCAGCTATGGAGACACTATATTACGCTTAGAGTTAAACCTGTTTTACTACTTGTCAATTATGCAACCTTTTTGTTGCATCTTGCCTAGCGGAACGCGCCGGTACTGCAGGGCAAACCTGCCGTGTTTACAGTCACGTTCCACGGTGACCTTTGCCCTCACCGGCACTACCGGTTTGTTTATTCATTCTTCTGGCTTTCGGCCATTTTGCTGTCGTGGCAGTCTGAGCTTTTCCTCCCGGACAAATCTGAGGAGATTTTAAACTTTCTTCGCCAACATCAAACCACCGAGCCGACAGGTGAGTCGTTTGATCGTGCCGACGTTACCTGGTTTATGGTAATACAGGTGAAGTTAGAATCACACCTGCCTATTCATGTGTCACGTACCTGTTGGTCGTCACGCATGATTTTGGAAGGGGGAGGGGGGCACGAAAGTTGGGGCGTTAGAACTTTATGTGAAAAGGGGTGGGGTTAAGGTGGGTGTTTTGTATATTTTGTATTTTTGTGCCGTTTTGGTGAAATTAAGGAAGGTGACAATCACTCTACTAATAGAGTTTTTAGTTAAGTTTGAACCATATGGTGCGAACTGGGTGGACGACTCCATTTTATTTGTTGTAGGAGGCTTAATTTCCTATTTTCACAAAAACATCTGAACTGAACTCATGTAACATGATGGTGAAAGTGGCAAGGCCGAAACCTGCAACTTTCTAAGACTAGCATGAAAGTCCATCTGTGTTGGTATACTTCATTATGACAAAAAGGGCTAAACGTTCTTGCCAACACTGAGTAAATTGGGAAGCTGCAGTAGAAGGGTCCATTCCGTGAACAAGGCTTCCGGAGTCGGCCGAAAGTTTGGGTTAGTCCCAATTTACTCAGTGTTGGCAAGAACGTTTAGACCTTTTTTCATAACTTTGTAAGGTGATTATAATGATTTCCACCCCTACACATAATCAAGAAAATTGAATAATCCAAACGACGTGCACGGGGGGCAATGTTATGTTTTTGCTTTGGAGTTTGAGCATTTTAACTTTATGTGATACGCAGTGGGTTTGGGTGGGTGTTCCGTTTTCACACAAAATGTACCATTTTTGTGTGTTCCTCTGCCATTTTGTTCAAATCAAGAAAGCTGGCAATTCTTCTATAAAATTGAGTTTTTGGTAAGGTCCATTCCATATGGTGGCATTTGGGTGAAAGGGTCCATTCTATTCATCGTAAGTGGTGTTTTTATTTTCAAAAAGGGATGTTTACATTCCCGACTTCCTAACTTCCTGCACCACTCTGATGGACGTGAGAAAGTTACTGTAACTTCGTTTATGTTCGACGTGGAAACATTTTGCGTTAGGAAACGGGAGGAATTTTTTTTTTTATTTACTAAATAATTCACCACAAAACAAAGCTCATGGGAGCCACTCAAAATGTTTTGGGTTACTGTACAGTCAGGGAGGACAGGTGTTAGTTGACATTAGACTTGAAAAGTCTTATGCAGTTGATTTTTTTAAGTTGAAGCAATACTTCAGCTTGGCAGTACATTTACACTGTAGTATCAGCAGTGCTCTTGGTTACAATATGTCTCTTACTATAGGCGTTGTATTATCATGGTCAAAACAGTGCACAATTGTGGCCAGTATGCCGCTATTGATGCATGTCTTCCACTATTGTTTTGTCTAACTCCAAATGCAGAAACACGTCACCGGACCGGGTCTTGTTGTGGAAACAGTAGAGAAACAAACTGCTTGCTTAAGACTCTCCTAAAATGTATTTCAATAAGTGAAGCAAGAGTATGTGTGACTTCATCGGTGTTGTGAACACGTGTTAGTCGGTTGGGTGATTGCCTTGCAAAACATCCAGTCATTAATGAAAATCTTTTTCTTTTGCTTGCAAATGTTGTTTTTGTAGCAATTTTCTTTCTGCATTTCTTCATTATTCATAGATATGGAGACCTTTGAAAGTCCCACCGAAAACACTGGGAACGAGTCAAGCTGTGGAAGCCCTTCTGAAAACCTTGGGAACGAGACAAGCAGCTGTGAAAGTCCAATTGGACACCCTGGGAACGAGACAACCTGTGATAGCCCTCCTAAACCCCCTGGGAACGAGACAGCACAAGCGAGGCCAACTGAGCGCCCTGGGAACGAGACAACCTGTGATAGCCCTCCTAAACACCCTGGGAACGAGACAGCACAAGCGAGGCGAACTGAGCGTTCTGGGAACGAGACAACCTGTGAGAGCCCTCCTGAAAACCCTGGGAACGAGTCAACCTGTGGAAGTCCAGCCGAACACCCTGGGAACGAGACCAGCTCTGTGAGTTCTAAAAACCCTGGGAACGGAAAAACTGCACGGAAACGCGCGCGAAAAAACCGCGAGAAACGCTACACGTGTGAGGAGTGCGGTTACGCAACATCCGAGTTCGGCAACCTTTCCAAGCACATGCGAACCCACACGGGAGAGAAACCCTACATGTGCGAGCACTGCGGGTTCCGTGCCGCTACCAGGTCCAACCTGGCCCGGCATATCAGTACCCACTTCGGCGTCAAACCTCACAAGTGTGACCAGTGCGCCTACGCAACCGCTTTTAAGAAGGACTTGGCCCGGCATATGAGCCAACACAGGTACCCGTGCGCGGTGTGCGGGGTTAAACTGGCCACGGAGGGTAAGGTAGCCGCGCACATGCGGACTCACACAGGGGAGAAACCCTACAAGTGTGACCAGTGCGACTTTTCTACCCTGTACAGAACCAGCTACGATATGCACATGTTAAACCACACCGGTGAGAAACCCTACAGGTGTGTTTTTTATTTTTTTTATTTTTCACAAAGTGAAAGGAGGGCAAAACAGGTGCATACACACCTTTACAAGTTGCCCTCCCCCATACAAAAACACATATACAACATCAAAATTTACATAGTCAATAACAACAAGTATAAAAATACACAAAATAGGCAATCATTATAGAAGGTTAAGCATAATTCAAATATATCTATTAGTAATAAGTAATAATAAATTGTGTTGAAGACTTAGTGCGGTCTAGAAGCAATACAAGAACTACACCCACAAGAAGTGGTCCAAGTACATGGGAGGTCAAGACTGTAATGTGTGTGAAATCTGTCATGAAAGTCCATCTGTGTTTGTAGTTACATGTTTTAAGTTAAAACATTTGCTCCAACACAAAAAGTTCTCTCACCTAGAGCTTTCGACCAGTCACTCTGGTCTTCCTCAGTAGACTGACCCAGTGTTGACGTCATAGTTCAAAGAAGCCACGTGACAAGCTTCACTGGGTCAGTCTACTAAGGAAGACCAGAGTGACTTGCTCGAAAGCTCTAGGTGAGAGAATTTTTTTGTGTCGGACCAAAAGTTTTAACTTTAAACATACAACTGTAAATAAGGTGTATTTTGTCCTGGTGTGTTGGAGGACTGTTACCTTAACAAACAGGAAAGCCCCAGGGTTGTACACTACTTCTACTGTTAAATTATGTGTTGGAGCAAACTTTTTAAATCTGTTGCAGGTGTGAGGAGTGTGGATACAGGACGGCACACAAGGAACACCTGAAGCGACACATGACCAGACACACAGGTGAGAAACCGTATGTCTGTGAGCAATGTGGACATAGAACAGCAGACAAGCACAACCTAACCAGACACATGAAAACTCACACAGGGGAGAGACCATTTAAGTGTGACCAGTGCGACTATTCTGCTGCACGGAAGAGCCACCTGAATATCCACATCAAAACCCACACAGGTGAGAAACCGTACGCGTGTCAGCAGTGTGGGTACAGGTTTATCGACTGGTCCAACCTCGCCAGGCACGTGAGAACCCACACAGGTGAGAGGCCCTACAGGTGTGACCAGTGCGACTATTCCACCAAACATCAGAGCAACTTAACCCGGCACTTGCTCAAACACACTGGAGAGAAACCCTACGCGTGCAGCATATGCGATTTTCGGACCACCCAGAACTTCAGCCTGACCCTGCACATGAGAAGACACTCTGGTGAGAAACCTTACAAGTGTGACCAGTGCGACTATTCCACTACCGAGAGGCCTAACCTACTGAGACACAAAGTACGCCACACAGGAGAGAAACCCTACGCGTGCAAGGACTGCGGCTTCAGGGCGGCCCAGAGAACCGGCCTCTCCCACCACGTGAAGAACCACCACGGAGACAAACCCTACAAGTGTACGCTGTGCGACTTTGCCCACGGGCAGAAGCGGGGTTTAGACCGACACATGGTGAAACACACAGGAGACAAACCCTACGCGTGCGAGGAGTGCGGGTACAGGACGGCTGACAAGACACGGCTAGTCAGGCACATGAGAACCCACACAGGAGAGAAACCCTACACGTGCGGATACTGCGGTAACAAAATGGCTGATCAGTCTCAGCTAGCCAAACACATCCGGACTCACACAGGGGAGAAACCCTACAAGTGTGACCAGTGTGACTACGCTGCTTCCGACTCCACCTGCCTTAACCGACACAAGGACAAACACGCAGGTGAGAAACCCTACCTGTGTGAGACGTGTGGGTTCAGGACAGGTAACATGTCTGTGTTGAGACAACACGTGTGGAAACACACAGGAGAGAAGCCCTACAAGTGTGACCAGTGTGACTACGGTTGCACACAGAAGCGCAGTTTAGCCTGGCACAGACTCGACCACTATCGTGACAAACCCCAAACATGTGTCACCACAGAGGCGACAACCCAATCTTAACCTTGTCCTAAGGGGCCCATATATATATATGGGTTGTACATACAGTACCATCTATATACAGTAGCACCCTGTATATGTACGATTTGGGGGTATTTCTCGTGCAACGCATCACACCGCAGCGAAACGCAAGAAATACCGAAGTAACCACGGCACCGCAGGGCAACAAAAGGCAAGGGTCTGTAACCTGGTTAAGACAAATTATTTGAAAATATTGTGTACAAAAAGCCAGCAGGACAAGGGTTAACTGCATTTATTACTTTTATTTAAGTTTTTTTATGTAGTTGTTTATACTCAGTCATTTTTTGTCATGCATAATTATTCTTGTATTTACTTGTAACTTTCATTATTTTCTGTATAAAGAAAGGAATGTATATATAATAATCAGTGCGACCGCTGTGCTTAGCGCTAGAACAGAGTGTTGGTTTTCACATGTACTCACTAGAAATTGCTAGGTTAATTTCACTTTGTACATTTAAGATTTTTTTTACATAAGACTTTTGCAATAAGATTTTATAAAAATGCAGTGCCAGTGGGGCTTTCGGGAACCGCTTAGCCAGTCGGCCTATGAAGAACTTGTTTGTTTCTTTGTTTCTTTGTCTACTCACACATGAGAAAGTGTAACGGCGCCTCCGGGAAGCGCTTTGCCAGACAATCCATGAAGAACTTGTTTGTGTGTTTGTTTATTTGATCACCCATGAGGAAGTACAGCGATGTTTGTTTGTTTGTTTGTTTGTTGACTCACCCATGAGGAAGTGTAGCGGTGCCTCCGGAAACCGTTTTGCCAGACACCCCATGAAGAACTTGTTTGTTTGTTTGTTTACTAGTATTTAATCACCTATGAGGAAGTTGCGGCGCTTGTTTGTTTGTTTGTTTGTTTGTTTACTCACCCATGAGGAAGTGTAGTGGCGCCTCCGGAAACCTCTTTGCCAGACAGCCCATGAAGAACTTGCTGCCGAACAGTTCAGTCCGCATGAAGGTTCCGTATTTCGCCATCCCAACTTCGTACGGCGTGAACTCTACCCACTCTGTAGGGTTACATGTGTATCAGTCTTTATATATGTCTTATCATATCACAACATACATAACATGCGAGTATGTACGGTATCACCAGTATAAAGTAAGAACAGCTCAGTCCGCATGAAGGTTCCGTACTTCGCCATTCCCACCACGTACGGCGTGAATTCTACCCACTCTGTAGGGTTACATGATTGTGTATCAGTCATTATACATGTCAATTATGTTGTATCATGTCATATTATAATCATATAGGCATATCATGCATGCAGTTATAGTATAGGTACAGTCTCAGGACTTTTAAACAGAACATTAGAAGCAGGACTTCTCAGGATTTTTAAACAGTTCATTAGGAGCAGGACTTCTTAGGACTTTTATTCAGAACATTTAGGTGCAGGATTTTGACACTGGTAATGTTTAGGATGTTGTAATTTAGTAATAGTTTATGTACTGTTTTTTGTTGTGTGTACTTTTATGTGTATCCAGGATTACCTGAAAAACAGGCCGGGATGGCCTGAGTTGTAATTACTGGTTAAATAAAATAAACTGAAACTGAGTTGACTGCGTTGCAGCCGACAGATAATCATATACAAAAAGCGCCGTATACATGTTGTACTGGTTGTACTAGTTTAAATGCAGACGATATATACATAGCAACGCGCTAGCAACACAGCTCGTCCACTAGGGACCAGCGTCAGGAGCGCCCGGTTAGCTCAGTCGGTAGAGCATCAGACTTTTAAGCCTGTCGTTCAGGGGTTCGAGTCCCGGATATCTGAGGGTCAGGGGTTCAAGTCCCCTATCGGGCGGGAATTTTTTATCAGCCCCTTTTTCGGAGTAGTCAAAAGAGAAAAGCGTCAATGCTAGAACGATTTTCCGCGATATTTTGAGCTGTTTTTTTTACCGGTTTTACTACTAGTACTCAATGAATTGTAAAAATATCAGATCTACTCGAAATATGCACAGACATGACAGAGTCTCGCGAGAATCTACAGACATGGCAAAGTCTCGCGAGAATCTACAGTCATGACGAAATCTCGCGAGAACGTACAGACATGGCAAAGTCTCGCGAGAACGTACCGTGGAAGACGAGAGCGGCTACGTCATGTCTGACGTGTACACACGTGATGAGCGGCATGGGCGCCTGGCCGTCCCGGATCTTCTCCTGCATGTCTGACAGCTTAAAGTCTAGTCTCTGCCGGAAAAAGGAAGTCATAGGGAAGACTTTAAGGTACATTCAGAGGAGAAAACTCATGTACATGTAAACCACCTGCATGCTGTGCCGAGGTGTAGCAATTTGATAAAATTCGGAGTTAAGAAAGAGGTGAGAAGCAGAACTTCAGTCAGAAGCTCTGAGGAAGGTGTCTGATAGACCTTGCTTACACCGAAACGTCAGCAAGGTGAGAGAAGTTTGGTCTTTGTTTTGGTGTAAAAGAAAACCCCTTTACCCGGCTTTTTCTTCTTGGACGACAATTATTTGAAGTACAACGTGGCACAGCGTGGTACAGCGGCTAGACAATACTAGTACATGTACGAGATATATATATATATTATCATGGTTGAAGAAGCACTGCACTCTGTACTAGAATGCGGTAAAGATACAATTCCATCAGGGTATATAACTTCACGAACGTTCAAACGTCTTATATTTTTACGATTTATCAGTACGAAACTAAAAGGAAATTTTCCTCACGTCTTTGATGAGCGTCTCTCCCACCAGGTGCCCGAAGAAGTCCGTGAAGCTGACGGGCTGCCCTACCGTCCGCTTCCGCATGATGGCGTCCGTGTACCGGTACAGCAGGCGCGGCTTCAGCAGGTAGAACAGGCTGGAGTCCACGTGATGCTTCAGTTCCTCCTGAAGCTCGCCAGGCGTCGCTTTTGGCCAGTCTTTGTGAGAGTACAGCGTGGAGATGTACCTAAGAGAAGGGAATATATTATATAGATGATCAGGGTCCATCACCCTTCACTGAACCGTGACAGGGGCCGACATCATCTACCAGATACGCAGTGTTGACGTCACACTTCAAAGAAGCCACGTGATAAGCCTCACTGGGTCAGTCTACTGAGGAAGACCAGAGTTACTGGTCAGAAGCTCTAGGTGAGAGAACTTTCTGTGCGTTGGATCTCAAGTTTTAGATCTTAACATTATATAGTGAATAGTTTAATGACCAGACACAAAGATACAAAGTAACCGATGACATATCAGCACCAAGTACAGACCAGATCTAGCAAAGAAATGAAAACGTAACAAGACAGAATTTTTAACAGTTGTCCGTCATAGATTTCAATCACAATTTCACTTATCGTCAATACTATGTTGTGATTACACATTGCTATACTTAAAGGACATATAACACTCACCAAGAGGACCCTGACAACCCCACCAGGTAAGTGGCACAGTCCGGTACTCACCATGAGGACCCTGACAACCCCACCAGGTAAGTGGCACAGTCCAGCACCTTGGCGTCAGACAGCGCCTTCACGGCTCCAGCCATCCCGATCATAGCCCGGAACCCGCCTCCGGAACCCAGGATGGCCACGCGGGGAACCTGTAACAGCACGGGAACAGGTCAGTAACAGGTCAGTAACAGCACGGGAACAGGTCAGTAACAGGACAGTAACAGGACAGTAACAGGACGCAGACAGCGCCTTCACGGCTCCAGCCATCCCGATCATAGCCCGGAACCCGCCTCCGGAACCCAGGATAGCCACGCGGGGGACCTGTAACAGCACGGGAACAGGTCAGTAACAGGTCAGTAACAGCACGGGAACAGGTCAGTAACAGGACAGTAACAGGACGGGAACAGGTCAGTAACAGGACAGTAACAGGACAGTAACAGGACGCAGACAGCGCCTTCACGGCTCCAGCCATGCCGATCATGGCCCGGAACCCGCCGCCGGAACCCAGGATGGCCACACGGGGAACCTGGAAAAAGATTGTGGCGTCAAAAACAGGACCTTTAGGTCATAAACAGGGTGGTATAGGGCAGAAACCGGACGATAAACCTCTAGCCCCCTGACCCATGACCCGTGACCAGTAACTACTGATCTTTAACCCCTGACCATTACCCTTGACCCATAAGTCCCGACCTGTAACCCCCAACCCTACCTCCTTGTAGTGCCTGGGTCCCCTCTCCTCTCCCACCAGGTCCCGGATGGCGTATCCCACACGCTTCTTCCGCGCCACCATGAAGTTTTTCTCCTCGTCACACAGAGCCAGACTGTACCTCAAATCGGGGTGCTGACTGGGGTAACAAACAACAGCAAACGAAAGATTAGAAACCTCAAGCTACTTAGCCAAAATACAACAGCACGTGCAGAATGGCAAAAGGGAAATATCAGAGACGTAATTTCTGGTACTCACTTTAATTCTGTCTCGAATTTGATGTCTACCTCTGAAGTCTGTGAAGCCAAAAAAAATGCCATTAACTATTCAACTGTGAGGAAGAAGACAACAGAACAGATTTCGCATTCAAACTACGCTGGTCACATTCTCTTACTCTCGTACTCTTAGAATACTATAGCTAGTGGTTTAGCTATGAAAAATACGTGTAATAAGTGTAAAAGTAATGTAGTATTTCCTCTATCTTACGCTGTAGAATCTGAACGTCTCCGTCCTGGCGTCGAACACCCTGAAGCCGTCCAGCTCGTACGTGACCGTCCCCAGCGACTCGTCTATGGTGTAATTAGCGTCCCACAGCGTGATGTCCAGACTGTACTTCTGGGTCGAGTCCAGCAGGAACGTGAAGCTCTCGTCCCACTCGGGGTTCACGTCGTTGTCGATGTGACGCGTTCGGCGTTTGCCTTCTATGGCTCCGTGCAGTTTTAGGGCGACGTAAGGGTCCGGGATGTCAACTGTGGGGAGGGGGCGGTATGGGGAGGGGGGGCGGAAAGATTAAAAAACAAGTTTAGAACGTTCAAGGTCATGTTGTAACACACCGATGTGTCGCGTTCGGCGTTTGCCTTCTATCGCGCCGTGGAGATTCAGGGCGACGTAAAGGATCGGGTATGTCAACTGTGGGAGGGGGCGGTATGGGGAGGGGGGCGGAGAGAAAGACATGTTAGAACGTTCAAGGTCATGTTGTAACACAGGAGGGGGCGGAGAGAAGGCAGACATATTATTAGAACTTTCAAGGTCAACGTTTTTCTTCTATGGCTCCGTGCAGCTTTAGCGCGACGTAAGGGTCGGGGATGTCAACTGTGGGGAGGGGGGCGGTAAATGGAACATGTTAGAATGTTCAAGGTCAACGTTTTCCCTCTATGGTGCCGTGGAGTTGCAGGGCGACGTACGGGTCAGGGATGTCAGCTGTGGGGAGGGGGACGCAGACATGGGACAAATCTTTGAAGCAGACCGAAGTGAAGGTCACGGTCATTTCTCATTTTAGGATTGACCATTTATGACACCTTGCGGCTTCCCAGACGTGAAAGGCGCGAATATGACTCTAAACATTCCCCACTACTCTGTCAATCCAACAGGTGGTTGCAGTTATGCTGCTAACTGCATGGCGGCGCTGTTTCACTGCTGCGCGCCTCCCAAAGCTCCCCATGTCGTAACGTCACGTTTTACATTGATATTCAAATTTATCCTCTCACCAACAGGTGCTGAGATTCGAAGAGTTGTCAACAAGAATAGACGTGACAAAATCAGAAATACTACAATCAGACTGGTGGTAGGAGTTAGATAGTATCATCAACAACAAATCAAGTGGTTCAGACACCTTGTAAATGTTAGGATGCTACTTGTAAAGTTAGCCCCAAACGACACCACATACAACAACGGAAAGTTTGGAACTAAGGCAAGAGAAAGGCCCAGGACCAGGAGAGACTGTGAATGACACCTTGACTAGATATGGCATGCCTGTGACAACAGCCTCCAGACTAGGCGTCGGCCGCCAACTAACCCTCCCCAAGACACCCAGTAAGTAAAGACCAACATCTTTGCTACAAAATTGACATAAATAACGTTATAACATGTGTTAAAAAAGTACGAAAATAGTTCTCCATGTTTGTTGTAACCAAGGACGCCCCCCTCCCCACTGCACCAGCAGTGACCTTGTCCATCTATAGAACCGACACGCCCCCCTCCCCCATCTCCACACCCGTGACCTTGCTCTGGTATTCTAAAGAACCGACACGCCCCCCTCCCCATCTCCAACCCGTGACCTTGCCTAGTTCAGGTATTCTAATAATAATAAGGGTTCGACACGCCCCCCTCCCCCATCTCCAAACCTATGACCTTGCCTAGTTCAGGTATTCTAAGGTTCGACACGCCACAGATTAAGACATAAAGTTGATGATAAACGGTTCTTTTGGTTCGAGTAACTCGTGTGTCCTTGGGAGAAGCTTATTCTCCACGCACTGCATTCCTTTTCAAGGACTTTCAAATGGCAACTGTGTTATACTGTGCCAATTTTGTTTTAATGTATAGTTTTACACCACATTAACATGTAAATATTTGTAATTTTCACTCATAATTTTCATATAATTAAGCTGGCAAGCCTTTTTACCAATCCAATCTATGGCCGTAATAAACTATTGATTTAGATGTCCATCATGGGGAGGGGGGGCGGTAAAATAGAGACGTCAGAATACGTGCAGGTCAGGCCTCCCGCCGCGGTTGCCAAGGCGACGGTGTTGCCATGGAGACGGCATCACGCGTCGTGCCACCCCGGCCGGGCGGACAGGGA